TTTTGTCTAGGGGAATGTAACAGCGTAGTTAAGATTTTGTATTACCAGAGTTGTATGTTACTCCGTCATATAAATTATTTTAGAGAAGTATTTATACGTAGTTAAAATTAAAACTAAATAGTCTCACTAGATTTGTACATAGCCTTCAAGAAGGATATTACTCTAGGGCTAAGTTTTTTCCTAAGTAGAGCTGAACAAAGCCATCTAGAGGAATATTACTCTGCAGTTCAGATTTTTTCTTACAAGAAATGTACGTAGCCTTCTAGAGGAATATTACTTCATAGATCAAATTTTGTCTTATAAGAACTGAACATGGAATATTTTTTCTAAAGGAATATTTCTCCGTAGTTCAGATTTTGTCTTATTAGAACTGTACATAGCCTCCTAGAGGAACATTACCCCATAGTTGAGATTTTGCTTATTAGAACTGTACAAAGCCTCCTAGAGGAATATTCCTCCATAGTTCAGATTTTATCTTATTAGAACTGTACAAAGCCTCCTAGAGGAATATTCCTCCATAGTTCAGATTTTATCTTGTTAGAACTGTGCATAGCCTCCTAGAGGAATATTACTCCGTAGTTCAAATTTTGTCTTAATAGATCTGTGCATACTTAGCATCCTAGAGGAATATTACCCTTAGTTCAGATTTTGTCTTATTAGAACTGTACATAGCCTTCTAGAGGAATATTACTACGTAGTTCTTTTTTTCTCTTAAAAGAACTGTTCATACTCAGCCTGCTGGAGGAATATTACCCTGTAGTAAAGACTTTGTCTACACGGGTGTGTTGAGTTTTCACCCCCGCATTCTGGATGTCTCTTTGGAACTACAGAAATTCTCTCAGACGAATATTACTCTGTAGTTAATATTTTGTTTTATTGGAATTCCGTAGATAAGATTTTTTTTTATTAGTGATGTACATAGCCTTCTAGAGGAATATTACTCTGTAGATAAGATTTAAAAAAAAAAGAAATTTATATAGCCTTGTAGAGGAATATTACTCCGCAGTTAATGTTTTGTCTCATTAGAATTTTCAAAGTCTTTTAGAGGAATATTACTCCTTAGATAATATTTTGTCTTTTTAGTGTACAGTTTTTCAGTGGAATATTACTCTGTAGTTAATTTTTGTCTTATCAGAATTCCTCTAGAAAAATATTATTCCGTAGATAAAAGTTTGTCTTCTAAGAGCTGTAAATAGCCTTCTAGAGGAAAATTGCTCCGTAGATAGGTTTTCGTCGTAGTAGAACTGTACATAGCGAAATATTACTCCGTACTTCAGATTTTGTCTCAAATAGAACTGTGCATGCTTAGCCTTCTGGAGGAATAATACTCCGTAGATTAGTTTTTGTTGTAGTAGAACTGTACATAGAGGAATATTACTCCGTAGTTCAGATTTTATCGTAATAGAAGTGTGTATACTTAGCCTTCTGGAGGAATATTACCCCGTACTTCAGATTAATTTTGTCTCAATAGAACTGTGCATACTTAGCCTTCTGGGGGAATATTACTCCGTAGATTAGTTTTTGTTGTAGTAGAACTGTACATAGAGGAATATTACTCCGTAGTTCAGATTTTATCGTAATAGAAGTGTGTATACTTAGCCTTCTGGAGGAATATTACCCCGTACTTCAGATTAATTTTGTCTCAATAGAACTGTGCATACTTAGCCTTCTGGGGGAATATTACTCTGTATATTAGTTCTTGTCTTAGAACAACTAAACATAGAGGAATATGTTACTCCGTAATTCAGATTTTCTCTTTTTAGAATTGTACATAGCCTTCTAGAGGAATATTACTCTGTAGTGCAAAGTTTCTCTCATTAGAATTCCACAGTCTTCTAGAGGAATATTACTAGAACTGTACATAACCTTCTTACTAGAGCTGTATATAGCTTCTAGAGGAATATTACTCCGTAGTGAATTTTTCATACTACAGAAGTTTTGCAATGGCCTTCTAGAGGAATATTACTCCGGAGGTCAAGTTTATGTCAGACTAGAACTGTACATATATATTTATAGAGGAATGTTACTCCATAGTTCAGTGTTTTTATTAAAGGACTTTTCTACGTATGAATAAATTTTTGAAGATATTGTCGATTTGTTTCTTCTTATTATTATAACAGAGTCTGTAATGATTCAAATATCAAACTCTGAATCGAATCCCGGAAAAGGTACGGTGAAGCACAGTACCTTTTTATTTTGCTGTCCCTTCTATATATTTCAATGTAAAAATTGGATTACCTATTGTGGCCCCGCCCTATCTCCGGGGGTCATGATTTGAACAATTTAAAATCTACACTACCCCAGGATGCTTCCACGTAAGTTTCGGCTTTTCTGGCTCAGTGGTTCTTGAGAAGAAGATTTTTAAAGATTTTTCCTATATATTTCAATGTAAAACTTGTATTCCCTATTGTGGCCCTGCCCTACCCCCAGGGGTCATGATTTGAACAATTTAGAATCTACACTATCCCAGGATGCTTCCACATAAGTTTCAGCTTTTCTGGCTCAGTGGTTCTTGAGAAGAAGATTTTTAAAGATTTTTCCTATATATTTCAATGTAAAAATTGGATTCCCTATTGTGGCCCCGCCCTACCCCCGGGGGTCATGATTTGAACAATTTAAAATCTACACTACCCCAGGATGCTTCCACGTAAGTTTCGGCTTTTCTGGCTCTGTGGTTCTTGAGAAGAAGATTTTTAAAGATTTTTCCTATATATTTCAATGTAAAACTTGTATTCCCTATTGTGGCCCTGCCCTACCCCCGGGGGTCATGATTTGAACAATTTAGAATCTACACTATCCCAGGATGCTTCCACATAAGTTTCAGCTTTTCTGGCTCAGTGGTTCTTGAGAAGAAGATTTTTAAGGATTTTTCCTATATATTTCAATGTAAAACTTGGATTCCCTCTTGTGGCCCCGCCCTACCCCCGGGGGTCATGATTTTTACAATTTAGAATCTACACTACCCCAGGATGCTTCCACATAAGTTTCAGCTTTTCTGGTCCAGTGGTTCTTGAGAAGAAGATTTTTAAAGATTTTTCCTATATATTTCTATGTAAAACATTGATTCCACATTGTGGCCCCGCCCTACCCCCGGGGGTCATGATTTGAACAATTTAGAATCTACACTACCCCAGGATGCTTCCATATAAGTTTCAGCTTTACTGGCCCTGTGGTTCTTGAGAAGAAGATTTTTTAATGACCCCACCCTATTTTTGTCTTCTCTTGATTATCTCCCCTTGTGAGGGGACTTGGCCCTTCATTTTAACAATTTAAATTCCCCTTCACCCAAGGATGCTTTGTACCAAGTTTGGTCAAAATTGGCCCAGTGGTTCTTGAGAAGAAGTCAAAAATGTGAAAAGTTTACAGACGGACGGACAGACAGACAGACAGACGGACAGACGGACGGACGGGCGAGGGACAAAATGTGATCAGAAAAGCTCACTTGAGCCTTCGGCTCAGGTGAGCTAAAAATTGTCTCATTCAAATAAATTTTCTCCTTGTTTGTTCGATTTTATGAATTTAATCAATTTAATGCAGTACACTCAAGCTTAGCATACATATTCCAGTTTGGAAAACTTTTATCTATAGATGTTTTTTAAAGCTTTGATGATAGATGTTTGTAGTTTCTAGCTCACCTGAGCCAAAGGTTCAAGTGAGCTTTTCTGATCAAAGTTTGTCTGTTTGTCGTGCATCCATCTAGTTGTGTATCTGTCTGTCTGTTATCTTTGCACATTTCCAACTTCTTCTCCAGAACCACTGGGCCAATTTCAATCAGACATGCCACAAAGCATCCTTGGGTACAGGGAATTCAGGGGTCTTGAATTACGCTTTCCTTTTGCCCGAGACGAGTGGAAAGTCATCTCGGGAAACCTAGTTATTGGTCACACTAATCCATCCGGGAAAGTATTAAAATCTAGAAACAATTGTTTAATATCTTATTTGAAACAAATATGAAACAAAACTTCACAAAAAGGTTTATTTCACGAACTTCAGCAGGTTGAATTTTCCTGAAAACCAACAGGGGGTTCAGAGTTTTAGATCGAAATATAAAATAGGATGTAGATTCAAGTTTGATCAAATCATGGCCCTGGGTGCTAAGGTGGGGCCATAAAAAGGGGGATATGCATAGAACTATGTATGTAAAATCTGTAAAACAACAAGATAACATTTAGTCAAATGAATATGTAAGCATCCCCATGTAATATAAATTCAACATTGTTCAAATCATGGTCCCTGGGTCAAGGTTGGGGCAATAAAAGTTGGTCAAAGTTTTGCATAGGAATACGAGGGGTTATCAGAAAGTTCGTGGACTGGCGCCATAAAATTAAAAACTATGTAGTCTGTACTTAGAAAATTTACAAGGAATATAAAACAACAAAAGTTTAATACGTTTTGAAAATTTTAGCTTGATACGTTGATAATTTGTCAATATACCACTTCATATGGTCACCCGGTGCTGTCGCCGTTTAGTTTTATGACGTTCGACGACTTCATTACTTTTTAATGTCCGCTCCTCAATACACTTACCTTTACAAAATATATTGTAGCTAAACACTGACTGAAATCCAACTTGCTTATGACTTTAAAATTTTATGAACAGCTGATTTCAATGCAAAATATTGTAAATGGATCTATACATGTACTAAACAAAAAGCGCCTCATTTGACTGTGTCAGCTTAATCCGCTTGTGGAATTTCTACCACACACGAGCAACGTTGTCGAAAAAAGACCGCGCATCGGCACAAAATGTGTCTCTCCTCTCTCTGAATCTTTAGCGCCATTCAAAAAAGGCCTTTCTGTACACATTTTGTCCCTCTCTATAACCTGTTCAAAACATTTCCAATAACTATGCAAAATTTTCCAAAGTAAAATTTTATAAATTTCGGGAAAAAGACCCGCGCACACCCCTTTTCTGGTGTCATTTTTAACCTCTATTGTTTTAGCAACATTAATAGAATTTAAGATAAGATTTTATAGAAATAAGAAAATGAGATAAATATTGTAAATTTTACAGAACAATTGTGTCACATCACAATAATGAATTAATGTGAAAATTGGATGACAAATATTCATATCAAAAGCTTCGTCTCCGTTACACTCACTGTAGAAATGCATCATATTTTGAGGTTGTGCCGTGTTGTCATACCATCCATCGCCTACAAAAACATTGATTATTTATTCAAAGATGAAACGTATGTCTTATAGTTTATTCTGTAGACAGGAAAGATGATGTTAAATAAATGTGTAAAAATTCATTGATGTATCTTAAGCGGTTTTAATTTTATGGCGCCAGTCCACGAATTTTTGGATTACCCCTTGTATATTGGAATAATTCTTTAAAACTTTCCTTCTCAAGAAATGCAGGGCATAAGTGAGTTAAGTTAATATGAAAGAATCCATAATTAGAATTTGTTCAACTCCTGTTCCCCAGGACAAGGAGGAGGGGGCAGGGGAAGTTTTTCACAAGAATGTTCAGGAACAACTCTTTAAAATCTTCTTTCCAAGAAAAGCAAGGCAGCTGAGTCAGCCAAATTAATATGCAAACATTCTTATTTAAGTAGTTTTAACTTTGTTCAAATCAAGGCCTTCAGGGGGAGTTAAATTTTACTTAGGAATATAAAGACTTTCTTAATAACTAAGCTATGATTGTAAACATGATTTCAATTAGTTTACTACAGATTAAAATTGTTGTGTGACCCATAACATTGAATTTCTAGCATTGTAGGAGATGGCAAAAATGATACAGGATGAAAATGAACAGAAACAGGCATCTTTAGAGATGGAGGTGCAGAATGTTTTGAAACCGAAGTCGGACCAGTTGACTGACATGGTAAAACAAACCTTAAAATCACTTATCAAGTCACGTAGAATTGCAGAGGGAAAATGCGACTTGCATGTAGACTTCACTGTGGAAAAGACAAAATGTGAGGTAAAGTTAAATATGAATAATTGCATTTCTGGAGAATGAGTTTGCATTTGATGAGATATTAACTTTCACACGTAAATAACTTGAGCATACTTAAGTAGTTTATGAAATAAATTATTATACATTTATTGCATTTTTAGAAGGGAGGCATCACAAATTGTCAGGTCTGGGAAGGCTACATCCCAAAGGCATGTAGCACGTTAGGGATATAACCCTATTCATACCTGACAATTTGTGATATCTCAAGGGCAAATTGTATTATCCTGAAGAATTTTAAAAATAAAAGTAAGTTTTATAACAGCAATTATGACAATTAACGATGACATGATCATCAAGAAACACTGAATTATCATTGTTTTTAACTCACCTGAGCTGAAAGCTCAAGTGAGCTTTTCTGTTTAAAGTTTGTCTGGCATCTGTCTGTTGTGTGTTGTTGCTAACTTTTTACATTTTCAGCTTCTTCTCAAGAACCACTGGGCCAGTTTCAACCAAACTTGTCCCAAAGCATTCTTGGGTAAAGGGAATTCAAATTGTTTAAATGAAGGGCCAAGTCCCTTTACAAGGGGAGAAGTTTAAGAAATAATGAAAAGGGATTATTAAAGAATTTTCTTCTCTAGAATCATTGTCATGACACTTGATTCATAGGTAGGGCCACAATGGGGGTTCAGTGTTTTACATAGGAATATATAGGAAAATTCTTTTAAAAATCTTCTTTTCGAGCACAAAAAGGCTGATTACTCAAATTAATATGCAAGCATCCCCATGTTGTTCAGATTCAAGTTTGTTCAAGTCATGACCCCTGGGGCTAAAATGGGGCCACAATAGGGCATTCAAATCTTTACATAGGAATATATAGGAAAAATCCATGTAGAAGATTTAATGCAGAATCTGATTCAAATTTTACCCCTGGGGCTAGGATGGGGCCACAGTAGGGGATTCAGATTTTTACGTACATAAGAAAATTCTTTAAAAATTTTCTTTTTGAGAACAAGGCTGTACTTAGATAAATTAATATGCAAGAATCTCCATGTAGTGCTGAATAATTTCATTCAAGTCACGGCTAGGGTGGGGCCACTGTAGGGATTCAAAGTTTGACATAGCTAATTATAGGAAAAAAAATGTTTCTAAAGAAACTTCCCTGGAATATCAATGCTAAAATTACTATATTTATTTGCAAATATCCTTATGTAGTGTAGATTGAATTTTATCCATGTTATGGCCCTGAGGTTGGGGGGGGGGGGGGGGGGCAGTTGGATTCAAGGATTCTTGAACAAAATTTTGTCAAATTAATGAATGTATGCAATTTTCAATATATATGCCCACTGACTTAGATTGGGTCCATAAGAAGGGGTTTTATTACATATTCATTTATCAGAGAGAGAGTGACTCAAGTGAGCATCGTGGCGCATGGGCCTCTTGTTTCTAGAATTGTCTTGTGGTTTCCATGTGCCTTGCAGAACGTTACGTCCGGTGATGACAGGGAGGTGTTATCACCCTCTGAATGATGTTGGGAGAATGTTATCTCCCTCTGATGAGAATTCAGAGGGAGATGTCGCAAGATATCATTCTGCATATGACATGTCTTATTCTGAAGGGTAATAATTTTTGTTGTCTGAAAAAAAAGTATATGAAACATATATTACCTTTGAATTAATGGATTATCTATTTAGATCTGGGGAAAACATGTTTATATTAATTATAGAACAAATTTGTTTCTATTTATAAATCTTATGCCACCATTATAAAATTACTGACTTTTATGAGGTGAACATAATCATTTAGCTATCTGAGAAGAACAATATTCACCCAGCTCGAAGGGCAAGGTGAATATTGTTCTGCGAGGATAGCTAAATGATTATCTTCACCAAATAAAAGTCAATATTTGTTTTATTATGTGAATACCATAACGAAGTGTTTCAGTTCAGTGACCCTTCATTCAGTTGGCTAACCTTGCCGTTGTTTGTGTTTGGAAAACTGTTTAGTAAACCAGCATGTTTACCAACACTGTACAAATAGCCATAGCATTAGCTCTTTGAGCCTTTGGCTCAGAAGAGCTATAAAGCTGCATTTGTAATGAAAAACTATGGATCTTTTTTTAAAATAATATTTGAAAGTAAATAAATTTCAAAATAGCTAACTTTGCAATATTGCTGTCATCTCACTAAATGTTTAAAAAAAAACTTGTCTTCAGACAGACAATTATGGTAAAACTTGTATACAATTTTATAAATCTAAGCTATTTTGCCACAATAGAAATTATGATTGGATCCCTGATGCAGGCGGGACCACATTTTAGAATTTTGCTGTCATGATGCTACATTCAATACTTTTTTACCCATTCGAAACAATGTCAATATGAAAAAGAAAAATCACAGCATTGTGTTGGGTCCTCTACCTACAAGAGATGTTTGTAAAACACTTATGCCCCCCCCCCCCCCAAATAAGAATTTTTTTTAAAGTCCATGGGGCATAGCTCTGTCAAAAATGCCTCAATCGTATCCAGAACAAAGCTTGACTTAGATATTTATCTGATAAATCTGTATACCAAATTTCATATCAATATGTTCAACCTCTGCAAAGAAAGTGAACAGAAACTGCATATAATTGGAATTTTTCTAAGTCCAAGGGGCATAACTCTGTCCAAAATGGTCCGATCATACTCAAAACAGAACTTGACCTAGATATTCCTATGGTATATCTGTAAAAAAAAATTCATTTGAATAAGTGCAACCTCTGTGAAGAAAATGAACAGAAATAGATGGACAGACAGCAGCAAAGTAATATGCCCTCCCTTCTTTATTTACAAATTTAAACTTGTTTTTGGCTCCAGCATCGTTTGGATGAGGAAGAGTGCTTTGAACAATACCCTGCGATCACTTGGGTCTAAAATATTGTAGCGTCTACTGTATTTAAATTGAGGACACTTCTCAGTTGCCTCATATTTCACAGATCCACCTCTATTTGCAGGCTTTCGAATTTTGTCCCAAGCAGAGTCTTGTACCTCAAGGTATGTAACTCTTACCTAAATTAAAAAAAAAATGATGTGTTCTTAATGATGAGAACTATTGAATCATACAAATGCAAAATTTAGGGGGAAAAATTAAAAGAAAAGTAACATGAGTTCATAACAGAGGCCCATGGGTCCCAGTAAAACGTGAACATGCATTTTCAATTATCTTTTGTTTCACTAAAACTATAAATCTAATAAAGTGCCCCGCCACAGCATGATATGCCTGTCAAATTTTGATGATCATAGGCCTTAAAGTATCCAAAATATGCCTCCTTTGTACACTTAGCATGCTTACTCTGGTTACTTAATACCCAGTGGTGGATCAGAGTAGAGAAAATGCATTTCCACTTTATAAGTAGTTGTGCAGCCCACCCCACAGGAACCACTGACCCTGGGGGCTGGAAATTTTATCATTAATTTTATTTCATCATAAATGGTTGATTAATACCAAAGAGCACATTTCAAAGCATTAATTTATTTTCAGAATAAATTTTCCTGAATAAATTTTACAAATTATTCATGAACAGTTCATGAAGATCCAATGAACTTATTATTGGACAATTCTTGAAATGATGAATCTTCTTGACTCTTCATGAATTATTCATGAAAAAAATATTCATGAATATTTATCCATTTTCTTTCATGAATAAAAATTCATGATTTGAAAATGTCCAATAATAAGTTCATAGGATCTTCATGAACATTTCATGAATAAAATTCAAGGAAAATCATGAATTATTCATGATCATCTCACAGGGGTAGGGTTGGGGAACAAATCAAAGTACTAAGAAGTACTGAAAGCCGGGCTCGTTTACATGGTAATGAAAAAAGGCCGTGATGACAGTTTAAAAACAAGTTCAGACATTGAGAGGATATGTTACACACAAATATCTCTATGTATACAAAATAAATTATTAATTCTAATATGCTTGTTTAAAATGAAAAGTGGTTTCTTTACAGTGATTTAAATTGTCTCCCTTGTTGCATATGGTAGCACATTTCTGCAATACATATTTTTTTTCAAACCAGTAAAAAATACTTATTTCTAAAACAAACATCTTTTTGCCTTTATATATTTTTTCTAGAGTTTTTATATGTTGATTGTAATACAATTTACTAATTATAAATAAAGAAATTCTGTTGCCATTTGTTTAAGGTTTATGACAGTTTGACTGGACTATATATATGCCCCAATCATTTTAATGCAGAGCCAAAATTTATTGAATTTTCAATTATACATAAACTTGAAATAAATTACCCAGGTCTTTTCAATGGTGAAGCCAAGAATCCCCCTAGGACTCACAGACTGGTGGAAATACACAAAGAGCTCTCCAATATGTTGGGCATAAACAGCTGCATCTCCTTTATAAGAACATCCAGGTTCTTCTGTGTTTGACGATCTTAATTTTTTCCTTTGAGGGGAGAAATCTGGATCCTCCACTTTCAAGGATTTTTTTACCTGTCAGAATATGAATTAAATCCAAATAAACACAAACATATGCGTATATACATATGGGTTAAAAAATACAGCCAATTCTTGATAAACAAACACCTTTTGTTATAAATAAATCAGGGCGGTATAATCCAAATGGCAATGAATTGAATTCAGCCATTTCTTTGATTTCCAGACTATGGCTACACCACCCATGATTATAGTAGTTCAACTAGAAACGATCTCGTTGTGAGCAACGAGAGGTCTTCCGTCCGATTCTTGAATAAAAAACAAACAAGAGGCCCATGGGCCTTATAGGTCACCTGAGTATTGTGAAACAACTTTCCAACAATTGAATTTGGTTTGTATTTTAAACCAGAGGCCATGTAATTCACAATTTTGAAAGAGGCACTATTGCTCATCATAACTATACAGTTAGCATGCTTACTTTGATTACTTAATACCCAGAGGCAGAGCAGAGGAACAAAAACAAGAGAAGTAGGAAGATCAGGATCAACAAAATAATTAGTCTAGTATTCACTATCAACTCAGAAATTGAGTTCTAATCTGTCCCCCACTTAACACTAATCACCATGCAGCCTATTAACAAACTATTAGTGCTTCTGTACTATTTATAAACCCATATTAAGACCTCTAGCATTGACTTCTCTTATGGTCTTTGAAGAACTTTTAATAAGATAAGTTATTTTTGTCTCATTTTTATTTATCTATTACTTACAGGTCTACCTGATTATTAAAACTAAGAAAGTACTTTTTTAATTAAACGATAAACATTCTTGCATAATTATCTTAATCTATTAACCTTTCAAATACATTATTTACAGTGATTAATTATCAAAGGTAAATGGAAAAGGGGAATAACTTCTCTCAGTAGAATACAAATTAATAGAGCCCTGCCCAGGACCAGAATGCTTAGACGAATGGTCCAGATGTTTAAAAATCTGGTAGAAATACGCTTACTCATATCATTTCAACTTTTACTCAGTTTGCTTCCGATATGCCAAGAAGCAGAGAAGAATTTCACAGGTACAATGCATTTTCACTACAGATTCAACAAAGCCTTACCCTAACACCAGAACCCAAGACCAAGGGTCAAGAAATTTACAAATTTGGAAGAGTTACCCTCATCATTATTACTATGGACTTCAAAGAATTAACACTTTTCCACCATATTATCAAAAGCCCCCCCCCCCCCCTCATTATGCCAGAATCCCTGACCCAAGGACCACAAGATTTAAAAATTTTGTTCGAAGCTTCCATTTTTATCATAGCTAAGCAATTTATTTATCAGCTCAACACTAAGGAGCAGACAGGATTAATTAATGATTAATTAATAGAATTAATGCTTTTTTCACTATATAATCAATAGAGCCCCGCCCTAACACCAGAACCCCTGACCCTGGGGCCATGAAATTCACAATTTTGGAAAAGGCATCCTTATGCATCATAACCATGCACTTAGTTTGTTTAAATAGTCTCCAGTAGCAGAGAAGAAGATTTTCAAAGAATCAATGCATTTTCACTATATAATCAATAGAGCCCCCCCCCCCCCCCTAACACCAGAACCCCTGACTCTGGGGCCATGAAATTCACAATTTTTGAAAAGGCATCCTTATGCATCATAACCATGCACTTAGTTTGTTTTAATAATACCCAGGAGCAGAGAAGAAGATTTTCAAAGAATTAAAGCATTTTCACTATATAATCAATAGAGCCCCACCCTAACACCAGAATCCCTGACCCAGGGGCCATGGCTTTCACAATTCTGGAAGAGGCCCACCTCCTCCTCATAACTATGTACTTAGTTTATCACCTTAATGCCCAGGAGCAGAGGAGAAGATTTTCAAAGAATTAATGCATTTTCACTATATAGTCGATAGAGCCCCGCCCTAACACCAGAACCCCTGACCCTGGGACCATGAAATTCACAATTTTGGAAGAGGCACTCTTGCTCATCATAACTATGTACTTAGTTACTTTATTAAATATCCAGAAGTAGAGAAGAAGATTTTCAAAGAATTAATGCATTTTCACTATATAATCAATAGAGCCCCGCCCTAACACCAGAACCCCTGACCCAGGGGCCATGAAATTCACAATTTTTAAAAAAGCACTTTAGCTCATCATAACTATGTACTTAGTTACTTTATTTAATGCCCAGGAGCAAAGAAGAAGGTTTTCAAAGAATTAATGCTTTTTCACTATATAATCTATAGAGCCCCGCCCTAACACCAGAACCCCTGACCCAGGGGCCATAAATTTCACAATTTTGAAAGAGGCACTCTTGCTTATCATAACTATGTACTTAGTTCCTTTATTTGATACCCAGGAGCAGAGAAGAAGATTTTCAAAGAATTAATGCATTTTCACTATATAATCAATAGAGCCCCGCTCTAACACCAGAACCCCTGACCCTGGGGCCATGAATTTCACAATTTTGGAAGAGGCACTCTTGCTCATCATAACTATGTACTTAGTAACTTTATTTAATACCCAGGAGCAGAGAAGAAGATTTTCAAAGAAATAATACACTTTCACTATATGATCTACATGTATATAGCCCCACCCTGGGGCCAGAACCCCTGACCCTGGGGCCATGAATTTCACAATTTTGGTAGAGGGCTCAATGCTCATTACAATGATGCCAACAGTTTGACTGCTTGATGTCCAGGAGTAAAGAAGAAGATTTTTAAAGATTGCAGTATTTTTGGTGGTTTTAGCCCCACCCCTCAGGCCCCAGCGGGGCAGGGACCATGAAATTCATAATTTTTGTTCCCCTTCACCCATAAATGCTGTATACCAAATTTGGATGTAATTGGTTCAGTGGTTCCAGAGAAGAAGCTAAAAATGTTCAAAAGTTTACGAACGACGAACGACGTACGACGACGGACGAAAATGGATAGCAATAGGTCACCTGAGTTTACTCAGGTTACCTAAAAATTATTGGAAAAAGTGATAAAAAAAAATCGGACATTCGGGGGAGCGAACCCAGGTCGCCCACGTGACAATCCAATGCGCTAACCATTCGGCCATTGAAAACACCGTTTCAACAAAATTTTCAAATGAAAATATCCCGAGATTGCCTGTTTTGATTCTAAAACAAATTACATATTTTGCATTCGCAAAAGTGTCCCTGTTAATAATACTAATATCAAAGAAAAATATTGGAAAACAAAAAAGTTGAAAAACTGGACTTTTTAAATTCGCTTCCGGTAGCGACCAGAACTACTGACGACACACGAAAATGTGATTCTGCAAACCTAAAAGTCACGAACAATCGTCTCCAAGAAGTCTCCAGTTTATATCTTAAGCTATTTTCAACAAAAAGGGGCGACAAAATTACATTTCAAATTCAGGAAATTGGTCATAACTTAGCACCTGAAGCGAATTTCCAAATTTCCTCCAAAACGTATCAAGTTCCTATCGATGCGCATTATTCCTGAAAATTTCATAGAAATCCACTGAATAGTTGTTGAGAAATCGCGTGCACAAAAAAGTGGGGGGAAAAAATAAGAATAAGAATAACTAGAAACGATCTCGTTGCGAGCAACGAGAGGTCTTCCGTCCGATTCTGATATAAAAAACGAAAAATCTAGCTGGAAAAAGTGATAAAAAAATCAGACATACGGGGGATCGAATCCGACGCACTAACCATTCGGCGATTGAAAACACTGCTTCAAATTTTTAAATGCGAATATCTCGAGATTGTCTTTTTCGATTCTAAAACAAATTATATATTAAGCATTCTCTAGAGAGTCATTGTTAGGATTACCAATATCAAAGAAAAATATTGAAAAACAAAAAAGTTGAAAAATTGTACTTTTAAAATTCGCTTCCGTTAGCGACCGGAAGCACTGATGACTCACGAATAGGGGCTTATGCACATCTAATAACCATGCCCTATGCTCTCAAACAAGTCTCCAGTTCATATCTTTTGCCATTTTTTAGAAAAATGTGCGACAAAATTGCATTTTAAAATCAGAAAATTGGCCATACAGTACCGACCGGACACAACCTAACACCAGAGCGAACCCAAAGCGCACCCCGGGTTCGCTTCCTGGGTTCGCTCGGGGTCCGCTGCGGGTTCGCTTTCAGAAAATTTGGGACCGCTCTGGGTGCGCTTCGGGTTCGCTCTGCGTTCGCTCGGGGTCAGCTCTGGGTCCGCTAGAGCGAACCCGGCGTTCGCTTACCGGGTTCGCTTTACGCACTCATGCGTGAAGCAGACCCCGCTTTAATCTTGCCGCCAGTAAGCCCCGCCCCTTATATATTCCAAATACAGTAGTGAAATCGATCATTACTGTTTTTATGGCGATCGAAACATGTACATGTAAGTGACAATACGGAGAACGTTGATAAATTTTCAAGAATTTCACCGTACATTCGACGTAGAATTATCACTTTTATTTTTCTTAACTTACCAGCTAAGTATATCTCGAAAGAAAAAGAAGAAAAGGTGTTAAATTTATTTTCGATGTATCGGATGGAGTGAAATTGATAAGAGTATCTTAATAAAAAAAATGTTTTCGAATTCATTTGTTTACATTATTCATGCGTTTTAAAATAAGTTGGAACTTCCAATTGTAATTGCAATTGCTAAATCGTAATTTTAATGTTTGAAAGACAAACAACTTAATTATGATCTTATCTGTGAAATAGCGGAGACATACTGTACACGTTAAATGCTAAGTTTTCACATTTAGCAGTTTATATTTAAGCTAGATTGTCGTCCATTACATGTATATGTAGGTCGTGATAATCACAAAAAATTCTCATACAGTGTAACTTGATTTCCTATTTAAGATCATTTATAATTTACTTCCATGCTATAAGTCATTGTTTTATAAGGCGAGTTTAACGGAAGACTTATAAAAAAAAACAACAATCAAAAAACCAAAACAAACAAACAAACAAAAACTAATAACTGGTCCACTGATAAGAATATATTATTTTTTTTTAAGTTGTTTTCAAATACATGTAAATGATCATTTGAATAGTTTGTGTTCCTT